CTCCCTGGCACGCACCGGATGTCTCTGCATCCGTCCACTGCTCCTCTGCGTGCCCCTTTGCCTTCTCCTCCAGAGTCCTTTCTTCCTGCACTTGCCGACCCAGAGTCGGACTCTCTTCGTGCTGCCAGTCCTACTATCACGCGTCTCCTTGCTACTGTCGTCACTGACCCCTCTTTTGAGTCCACTGCTGCTTCTGCACTTGTTGCTGAGCTCGTCGACTTTGCTGCTCGCTGTCGTGTAGACTACGCTGCCAGTCTTGTTGCTGAGTCTGCGTCTGTCTGTCCTCCGTCCGTCGGGGGTGAGTATGCTCTTGACACGGACGTCCTTGAGGACAGGCAGGAGGAGTTCCAGTGTCTTGCTGCTGCTTCACCTCATCTCGCGTCCGTACTACTTGCCCCTGAGGGAGACCCGGATGCACTAGACATCCCGACTCCGCGCTCTTACGCGGAGGCCGTAGAGGGTCCCTACTCCTCTTAGTGGCAGGCAGCTATGGATGCAGAGATGGCTTCCTGGAAGTCCACAGGCACCTACGTTGACGCGGTTCCCCCTCCTGGGGCGAACATCGTCAGTGGCATGTGGATCTTCAGGGTGAAGCGGCCGCCGGGCTCTCCACCTGTCTTCAAGGCGCGTTACGTGGCTCGTGGCTTCAGTCAGCGGCAGGGAGTTGACTACTTTAAGACCTTCTCTCCCACCCCGAAGATGACCACTCTTCGGGTGCTGCTGCACATAGCCGCTCAGCGCGACTACGAGCTCCACTCTCTTGACTTCAGCACTGCTTTCTTGCAGGGTAGCCTGCACGAGGAGATCAGGCTGCGCTGTCCACCTGGCTTCATTGGGAGTTTCCCTCCTGGCACCCAGTGGAGCCTCCAACGGCCAGTCTACGGTCTCTGCCACGCACCGCGTGAGTGGCACGACACACTGAGGACTACGCTTGCGGCTCTTGGGTTTGCTCCCTCTTCTGCTGACCCGTCGTTGTTTCTGCGCACCGACACTTCTCTGCGGCCGTTCTACATCCTCGTGTACATCGTCGACTTGGTCTTTGCCACAGCGGACAATGCTGGACTCGCCTACGTGAAGTCCGAGCTGCAGAAGAGAAACAAGTGCACAGATCTGGGTGAACTGTGCAGCTACCTTGGCTTGCAGATCACTCGGGACTGAGCACGCCGCACCATTACCTTAACTCAGTCACACATGGTGCAGCAGGTCCTTTAGCGCTTCGGCTTCACGTACTCCTCGCCTCAGGCCACTCCTCTGTCTACTCGCCACTCGCTCTCAGCTCTGCCTTCGGATGAGTCCGTAGAGTCGAGTGGCCCATACCCAGAGCTTGTTGGCTGCCTCATGTACCTGATGACCTGCACACGGCCTGACCTTACATACCCTCTTAGCATTCTTGCACGCTATGTTGCTCCTGGGAGACACCGACCAGAGCACATGGCTGCAGCGAAGAGGGTGTTGCGCTACTTGTGCAGTACGTCGGGCATGGGGCTAGTGCTTGGAGGGCGGAGTCCAGTGGTCCTCACTGGGCACGCGGACGCTTCTTGGGCTGCCGACCAGGCTACTCAGCGGTCGTCACAGGGTTACACCTTCAGCCTTGGTTCCGGCTCTGTTTCGTGGCGGGCTACTCACTCGTCTTCTGTTCTCGGCTCCAGTTGTGAGGCTGAGATCTACGCAGGGGCCATGGCTGCTCAGGAGCTTCGCTGGCTCACCTACCTGCTGACTGACCTTGGAGAGCCGCCTCGTTCTCCTCCAGTGCTGTACGTAGACAACAAGGCCATGCTGGCCTTGTGTCGAGAGCAGCGCCTGGAGCACAGAATGAAGCACATTGCTCTCCGCTACTTTCTTGCTCGTGAGCTGCAGCAGCGTGGTCAGTTGCGGCTTGCGTACGTGGCCTCTGAGGCCAACACTGCTGATGTTTTCACCAAGGCACTTCCGCCTTGTGATCATCAGCGCTTCTGCACTCAGCAGGAACTTGTACTTGTCTTACCTCACTTGCTCACCTCTTGATCTTACTTGTACTCTTGCATATATATATATACCTGCTCTTGCTTGTTTAGTGTTATATATATATACATATGTGCACTCCAGCATGTGAACTGGCCTTGTGGCCTTGACCTTGTGCTCGGACTGTGTGGTGACTTTGTGATCCACCTTGAGCTTGCTTTGTTTTGCTTGACTGGTCTTGTGACCCCTTGTTCTCCCCCACTTTGCCTATGGGGGTGTGTCAGATATATATGACATAGCTATTGTAGGCTATAGTGGGGTAGCACATATGGGGTACAGCTTTCTAGGGTTTGTATTTGTACCCAATTTTCACTTAGTCATTTCATCCTCGTTCAACTCTTCTCAGGTGCTTCAACAGGGACGGGAGCAGCAGCAGCAGCAGCAGCAGTAGCAGCGATTGCAACAAATGAAGCATTAGCCCGAGCAGGGAGAGGAGCAGCAGCAGCAGCAGCACCAGTGGCAGCGGTTGCAGCAAATGAAGCATCAGCCCCAGCACGGAGAGGAGCAACAGCAGCGGCTGCTGCAGCAACAGCTGAAAGAGCAGGATCAGCAGGAGAGAAAGGAGGGGGAATAGCAGCATCGTAACCGTTCATCCCTGTTACAGGCATCTCCACCATCAATGATTCACATTTCAGCGCCATTGTGGGGCCCTGTGGTGGTGACACGTGTCACTCTCTTTGTCTTCCACGTGTCCAATGCTCTCGCCCTAATTAATGTTGCTCCTATGAGTATAATTCAATGCATGTTTTAATTGTGCTTTTTTTCGAATCGGAAAATACAATTGAACTACTATTGTTGTATTGGCGTGTACTGTACGGTTGCACTAGCGTGCATGTGTACATCCCTCTCAACTTGCTTCTACCCTCCCAATCTTGACTGTGCTGTTCCCTTTTCTCGCCTCAACTCTATGTAACGTTCCATTCTATCCTGTGCCATTATTTTGTGCCGTAATTCCTTTCCTCCTTGCCACCCTCTTTATAAGGCTTTCTCTTTCAGCCACCATGCCCTTAGCCTCCTCCTCCAAACCCATTCATCTTTTATTTCATATGCCCCCTTCCCTTCCTTTTCCATCTTCAGATCTCCTTCTTGGATGGAGATTCCATTCGATCAAACCCAAAGCATCCTATGGCTCCTCTGGTGGAAACAATCGGTCCTAAGCACCTCTGTCGTGTCGAAACACCAAGTCAGAAGCGAAGCGAAGTATATCGAAGCACCGGCGAGTCAACCCTCGGAGGTTGAGCGGTTGCTAGAGGCTACCCCAAAGTCAAAGGTTAGCGACCTTTGACCTGACAAGTACCGCACGACAGCAAGGACACACAACTGACTCGCTACAGAGCAGTTGCCCGAGTCGTCACTGTATCGAACCGCAACAGCAACAGCAAAGTAGTTATAACCGTATCTCTTCGTATTCCTTGTACTCTTATATAATCCTGTATCTCCTTGCTTTAATCAACTTACTTTGCCCTCACATACTAGCGCAAGGTGGTTCACACCTCTTTATTAACGCTTCCGCTACTACACCAACTCTACCCAGAGTTCACCCCTGCAAAGATCCTGAGGGCTTTTTCAGCCCAACATCCTCCACGTTCCCCCCTCATTCCTCCCGTTCCCCCCTTCCCTTCCTGTTCCCTCGTTAGAATTTCTTCCTAGATGGAGAGGCCATTCTCTCGAACCTCCTCCCCTGCTGCTCCCTTTTCCCTCGCATCCTCTCGCCTTACATCCGCACCTCTGGCACCAGCAACAGATTGCTCGACACCAATGTATTATTTCTAGTGTCCTTTATGGGGGATCTTTCCTTCTTGTCTCGCTTACTTCATCAACGATGTTTTTGCGTTTGTGACATACAAGCTGAAGATGCCATCATGATGTATTTACTTATCGTACAAACCTGCTTTGCTGTGCGAAACTTGTACGAGATACACAATCATGCCGTGTAACTAGGGCTAATGATTAAGGACATTATGCTTGGTGCACAACACTTATTCCTTATGTAACTAAGAACATAAGGAATAAGTATTGTGCACCAAGCATAACGAGTTATCCCTTGTGTCCGTTCACAGTTCAGTTGAAACGTCAATGCAATTACCGTAAGATGTTTCCCCAAGAAGAACCTTCTCTCTTGTAATTTGCTGTTCTACAAAGCACTGCGGCAAAATATGAAATGCAGATGCAAAAGTGTAGACAAACGCAAGAATTAGGGTGGACAACCCTTTGCCTCAAGCATTTGCTGCCGCGTTATCCGCAATTTCCGTCGACGGACTTGACGCGCCTGTGTCAGGTGGTCAACCGGTTTCAACAGGCGTGACAAGTGGAGTTTCCACCTGCAATCTAAACTTCCAGCACGCCGTGACAATCGGTCGAGCATGTTGTGAATCGTGAATTGTGGCGTGATCCACTTTGCCCTCGCAGGTTGGGAAATTGCAGGAAATCGAATTCGCCAGCCTCATCTTTACAGTAACCAGCGTCGCGACGCTCGCCACTCCACCGTCGCAACTCCCTGGCCTCTGAAACACGGAGCAGCGAAGCTCACGGAGTTCACCTGGCGCGAAAGTACATTTCCCGCCAACCATGAGTTCCAACCATTTCCTGTGTGTACTTTGTTGAGCAAGGGCGAGCCGCGTTCTCACCACCCTCCTATAAAACCACCCGTCCCTCCCATCGTTATCATTAGTTCTCATATCAATAATCATTCTCTGTTCACTACGATTTCCTCTTCTTTTTTTCTCGTCATCCGCTCCTCTCGTTAGTTCGTTACGCTTCGAGAAACGTCGGATTTACAATGGGTTACACGATGCGAGGCATATCTTTGCTGCTGCTGCTTCTCGCGCTTTTCGTAGCGTCAGCCTCCGTCGCGCCTGGTAAGATCCCGCGACTTGTATCACGACCTTTTCACCAAAAACAGTTTCCTTCTCCCAGATGAGACTTCCGTTTCCTCGCACCTTCTCCCCTTTCGCGCAGTTTTCTTTTCTGATACTCTGAATTGGTTTTGACTCTGTAAGATGTCGCCCGATTCTTCCGCGTTTTCTCCTTCTCGCGCAGTTTTTGGAAGGACCTTATCTACTCGTCGCAGCCTCGCCCTCAAGGCCCTCTCGCTCGTGAGCTTTCCGGGATCGTCAACCATTACTCTGCTAGCAAATCCCGGAGACACTGGCGGAGATATCGGCGGAGATACCGGCAGTGGCGGCGAAATTGGGGGAGGGGGCGATGCGGGGGAAGGCGGAGAACCTGGCGGACCTGGCGGAGACGTCGGCGGCGATCAGGGCGGTCCTGAGGGCCCCCCTGGTGGCGACAACGGGGATACCGCCAGTGGCGGAGATCCCGGCAGTGGCGGCGACGTTGGGGGAGGCGAGGACGGCCCGCCACTGATCGGCGCTGGCGGAAAGGGAGGAAAGGGCGGAAAGGGAGGGAAAGGTGGAAAGGGCGGAAAGGGAGGAAAGGGCGGAAAGGGAGGGAAAGGGGGCAAGGGGGGAAAGGGAGGGAAACCTGGTAACCAGCAGGGTGGAGCTGGCGGAGAGCAGGGGGAAGCTGGCGGAAAGCAAGGGGGAGCTGGCGGAGAGCAGGGGGGATCTGGCGGACAGCAGGGAGGATCTGGTGGAGAGCAGGGCGGGGCTGTTGAGGGGCAGGGGGGGTCAGGGGGGGCGGATGGTAGCCAGACTGGGGGCATAACGAGCACCGGAAAGGGCGGAAAGGGAGGAAAGGCTGGGAAAGGCGGAAAGGGTGGGAAAGGAGGGAAAGGGAGCAAGGGGGGAAAGGGAGGGAAACCTGGTAACCAGCAGGGCGGACCTGGCGGAGAGCAAGGGGGATCTGGCGGAGAGCAAGGTGGGGCAGGCGGAGAGCAGGGGGGATCCGGCGGAGACCAGGGAGGACCCGGCGGAGAGCAGGGGGGATCTGGTGGAGGGGCTGGCGGGGAGCAGGGTGGGGCGGATGGTAGCCAGACTGGGGGCACAACGAGCACCGGAAAGGGCGGAAAGGCTGGGAGGGGCGGAAAGGGTGGGAAAGGAGGGAAAGGGGGCAAGGGTGGAAAGAAATAAAAGCTTTTGCAACACATACTAGGTTGTACCACTGTTTCTTCTTGTACCATTATTGCAGCCAAGTCCATATATGCTGTACTTTCCGAATCCTTCGTGTAAGAATGCCAAAGCAGCCCTAGTAACCTGTGGTACTTGTGTCAGACGTCAGCAGTATGGACGCAAGCTAAGATTTTTTTAGCCTTTTGCATTTCCGGCACAAGCATCAAACTCGACTGCAACTTCTATCATCATAGCCTTTTACCAACTCTTGCAGCTACTACGATGTTCTCGATGCGCACTTTCATTCTTGCGCCGTCACCAATCTGTCGCGACAAGAAACATCCTACCAAGCTCTTGTAGCTACGGCGAGATGGCAAGCAGTACCGTGCTACGAATTTCTATCTGACGGAAGATGTACGGAGTAGTGTCTGATCGGGATTCGGGAAGGCAGGCTTGGTTGGGTCAGTGTGCTGAAAAGTTTGGGGCGCGTTTTTGCAATGGCACAGCCTGTGTAACCCAGGCTGCTACCCACAGGGAATTACACGACGGAATGCGAAGCAGGTAACCTCGCAGGTCACATTGTCGGCTCATCCCAGCAGCGCCGGTTGCGAAGTGTGCGATTATTCAGCGAAGACGGGGATACCCCACACGTTGATCCAGCAATCATTCCATGCGGTTTAGAACGTTCTCGACACATCGCCGAAACGCTCTTCACCGCTTTGATTTGTGGAGCACCAGATCAAACCGTGGTGCGTGAGTTGAACAACGTGAGCGTGAGCGACATTCCCTAAGCGTCAAGCCGTATGACAGCTGCATCACCAATCAACAGTCACTTCGGTGATGGCTTGAAATTGGTGGTAGGATTTCTTATCCAGAACGCAACGACGATAAATCTTACTTAGCTCAGGTTGCTTTCTGAAATTTCACCATGATACGAGGCCTCGGTTACTGCACGGTGTGCGCATTCACGGCTTGTTAACCGCGTAGTATCACCGCGACGCGAGTGATCCGCATGGCCTTGTGATTGTGAATCCGCGACACCAACGTGTCGTTTTCCCGCCAGTAATGTCAGCGACATCTTTGGAGCGTCTTTCCCGTCGTTATTTTTGGCGAGTGCGAAATGTCGGTGTCTGCAGAGCTGGTTACCAGCATCGTCCTTTGGCTGCTGCTCAATCTTCTCGTTCCCCTGCTCTTCAAGGTACTACTTCCTTGACTTCTCAGATATATTTCTGACATCTCAGATGTTTTTTCTAGTTTTATTTAAGCGTCGTCTCGACTGACGACTGGTAAGCTGTTGTACTTTGGTTGCTGCTCAATCTCCGCGTTTCCTTTCCCCGCTCTTTAGGGTACTTACCAGACGTCTCAGATAAAAATCTCTTAGTGCAGTCTCTCAACCAGCGTTTAATAAGCTGCTTCGTTTTGGCCGCTGCTCACCTTCTCGTCCCCCTGCTCATTGAAGCTACAAAAGTCTGTTTCATTTGGCCGCGAGACGGATCCGATCCTCTTTTTCCCCCTTCTTTCTCTCTCCTTTTCACTCCCTTCGTTAGTAAGCTCATTCCCCCTGCACTGGCGCTGGCTGCGCGGAGGCAGGGGAAGGGGAGCCTCAGTTGCGTCAATGCGCCAATTCCCCACTACCCTTCTCCCATTCCCCCCCACTCCCCCCCACTCCCTGTCCGCCCTCCACCCTCCTCCTGCCCCTTGTCCTTTCCCTCAGCGCGCGGAGTTCTCTCTCCGCGCATCCCCCTTGCACTGGCGCTGGCTGCGCGGAGGCAGGAGGAGGGGGAGCCTCAAGCGGAAGCGCAGGGCAAGGGGAGGCGAATGCGATAGTCAAGGGGGAGGAAGTGCCCAAAGCGAATGTGCTAATAAAGGGGTCGGAGGAGGCTTGGATAGCAGCGGAGAGGAGGATTGGGGGGAGAGTGGTGGGAGAAGGGGAGGGGCGGATGGAGGGGAGATGAGGGGGAGTAAGGGAGAGGTAGGGGGAAACGATGGGAGAGCACAGGGCGAAAGGGAGCGAGAAGGGGTTACCCTCACAAGTGGGGTTACATCTAGCATAGGGTAAGTTATACACCTTCTAGTTGAGTATATATATAAAAATATATACGTATATGACCTCCCCTCCCGCCCTCTCTCCCTCCCTCCCTCCCTCCCTCCCTCCCTCCCTCCCTCCCTCCCTCCCTCCCTCCCTCCCTCCCTCCCTCCCTCCCTCCCTCCCTCCCGCCCTCCCTCCCTCCCTCCCTCCCTCCCTCCCTCCCTCCCTCCCTCCCTCCCACCCTCCCTCCCACCCTCCCTTCCTCCCTCCCTCCCTCCCTCCCTCCCTCCCTCCCTCCCTCCCTCCCTCCCTCCCTCCCTCCCTCCCTCCCTCCCTCCCTCCCTCCCTCCCTCCCGCCCACCACCAGGTACGGTCAGATCCACACCACGTGTTCAACACGAGCACCTTCACATGCTTGAGGGCACCACAGAGTGTCATCCGTTTGCCTCCCACCCTCCCTTCTCCCCATCCCTCCTCCCTCCCTCGCATCACCAGGTACATTCAGGTCCACACCACGTGCTTCAACCCTTGGCTAGAGCGGCTTCGCATGCTGCCTGCTAAGTCAGCTACCAAGAGGTGGGGCATTGGGTTGGGCTGTAGTTGAAATGCTTGATTTTCTCGTTCACTTCAGGGTGTTTCTTGTTTTGGCAATCCTTTTCTGTTCTTCGTATTATGCCTAAACCTCAGCGCGCGAATAAAAACATAAACTGCACAAAGAGACAGAAAAAACCTTCCCTGGTTTTTCTTCATTTCGGGATGCTCCGTGCATGGTTCACATGGGGGGTCATTGCAACCTCTGTATCATTGCATGGTTCTTTGTGTCTCGTGTAACCCTCAGTACTCCAACCGAACATCGCCACATGCTAATATTTTCTCATGTGTCTCATCTCATCCCAGGATGCTCCGTGCATGGTTCACATGGGGGGTCATTGCAGCCTGCGTCGCCTTCCTATTGGCCTCTCTGGTGCGTGTGTGCATACAACCCTCCCTCATCTCTCCCCATTCGCATTCACATGGGGGGTCATTGCAGCCTGCGTCGCCTTCCTATTGGCCTCTCTGGTGCGTGTGTGCATACAACCCTCCCTCATCTCTCCCCATTCGCATTCACATGGGGGGTCATTGCAGCCTGCGTCGCCTTCCTATTGGCCTCTCTGGTGCGTGTGTGTGTGCACGAAACCCTCATTTTTTACCATTCTTATTTGCACGCGCTGGGACCGTCGAACGAATTCTGAGGCGCCTCAAACGTTCCCATTGTCATTGTGCGTAGGTGCCTCGAACGCTTCTATACGAGTGTATTCATGCCACTCTCAATGCAGCACGTATCGTATCGTATCGTATCGCATCGCCTTCATGTTGGCCCTCTGATTCGTGGATTGCATGCATCAAACTCGACAAATATTTATTTGTTTCATGCTTAGGTCCCCCCTCCCTTCCCTCCCTCCGTTCCCTCCCTTCCTTTCCCTCCCTTCCTTTCCCTCCCCAGGTTCTTCTATGGGACGGCCTTGTTGCTTCCCTCCTCGTCCCTCTCCTCCGCCACCTCTCCACCTCATCCCAGCACCTAGCGGAACAGCAGCGCTTTTACCCTCACACCCACTCTCACAACCACTCTCACTACAGTCACATCCCTTCTGCTGTAAACGCCTCTTTCGGACCTTCCTCTCCTGTCGTCGCCCTCTCTAGAGCAACGGGTGCTGCAGCGTCCCTTGCAGCACAGCAAGCGTCCCATGCAGCACAGCAAGCCGTCCAAGCAGCAGAGCCACACCCCGCTGCCCCAGCAGAACCAGCAACGTCCGCCACTCCTGCTGCGACCTCTTCCTCCCTGCATCTTCTACAGCCTGTGGTGAGTGAGTGAGTGAGTGAGAGAGTGAGTGAGTGAGTGAGTGCTGAGGAGGGTTGGCACTGGCATTGGCACTGAAAGCGTGCCTTGCAGCACAGCAAGCTGTCCAAGCAGCACAGCAAGCTGTCCAAGCAGCACAGCAAGCTGTCCAAGCAGCACAGCAAGCTGTCCAAGCAGCACAGCCACACCCCGCTGCCCCAGCAGAGCCAGATGCGCATGCTGCACGGCAAGCAAGCAACCGCCCCTGCCTCTGCTGCGACCCCACCATCCTCGCTTCACGTGCTACAGCCAGTGGTGGTGAGTGAGTGAGTGGGTGGGTGAGTGAGAGGCGCATGCTGCAAGGCAAGCAACCACCCCTGCCTCTTCCTCTGCCTCGACCCCATCGTCCTCGCTTCACGTGCTGCAGCCGGTGGTGAGTGAGTGAGTGGGTGAGTGAGTGGTGGTTGGGTGAGTGGGTGGATTGAGTGAGTGAGTGAGTGAGTGAGTGAGTGAATGTGTGAGTGAGTGAGTGTTGAGGGGGGCTAGTACTAGCACTGGCATTGCAAGCGTCCCATGCAGCACAGGCACAGCAAGCCTTCCCATTCCAAGCAGCAGAGCCACACCCCACTGCCCCAGCTGAGCCAGATGCGCATGCTGCACGGCAAGCAACCGCCCCTGCCTCTGCCTCTGCCTCTGCCTCGACCCGACCGTCCTCGCTTCACGTGCTACAGCCTGTGGTAAGTGAACGAGTGCGTCTGTGAGTGGGTGAGTAGGTGGTGAGTGAGTGACTTAATGATTGAATTGAGTGTTAGTGAGCTGGTGGGTGGGTGGTGAGAGCTGAGGACAAGTGGGTAATCCTTACCTGTCCTTACTTCCACCCCTCTTGTTCGTTGCTTCCTTCACTCCACCTCCCCATTTCTCACTCTCCTCTCACCACTTCACCCCCCTCTCCTTTTCCGCCCCCCTCTCCACCTCTCTCCCCCTCCCTCCCTCCCTCCCTCCCTGCTCTTTTCCTCCCCCGAACCGTTCCATACCTGGCCCCCACGTGGAGCAACAGCTGCCAGGTGTCAACATGCCATTGGCCGATCTCGGGTACCTCTTTATAGCCACGCTTATCAGCCTGGCGTGGCATGAGGCAGGGCACGCCGTAGCTGCTGCCGTGGGAGTGTAAGTGTCGTGGGAGTGTGTGTGTGTGTGTGTGTGTGTGTGTGTGTGTGTGTGGTGTATCTAGTGGTGTGATAATACATGCTAGCATAGGGGGCTGCTTATCAGCCTGGCGTGGCACGAAACAGGCCATTCTGTTGCTGCTGTTGTGTCAGTGTAAGTGTCATATGTGTGTGTGTGATCCAGGGTTTTTTAGGCGCCTCAAAAGTTGTCATATGCGCGTGTGATTCTGGGTTTTTTAGGCGCCTCAGAAGTTGTCATGTGCGCGTGTGATTCTGGGTTTCTTAGGCGCCTCAAAAGTTGTCATGTGCGCGTGTGATTCTGGGTTGAAGTGTGGCTGTGTGAGACGCCTCAAGTCAGCTTGTGCGTGGGAGTGTGGGGTTGTCCGCATGAGTGCAAGCTGTCATGCTTGAATGTCACACGAGTGTGGGAGGGAGTGCGAGTGCAGCATGATGTGGCATGCGTCCTCCTCGCCCTGCTCCTTAATCTGTTGTAACTCTTCCAATCCCTTCACCCCAACCCCCCCTCCCTCCCGCACATTTGTCCACCCCTGTCCGCTACCCACAGAGAGGGAGTGAGGGTGCAGCACGTGGCGTGCTCCTCCTCGCGCTGCTGCTCCCCAGTCTCTTCCCCCTGCCAACCCATTTCTTTCCCCACGTCTCGTCTCACTACAGGGAGGGCATGCTCCCCGGAGTCCACGTCGCCTTCCATCCCTCTTGTAGCTCACTTTCCTGTTTTTCCCTCCTCCATCCCTCCTCCCCCGCTCCCCATTCAGAGAGGGAGTGCGAGTGCAGCACGTGGCATGCTTCCTCCTCGCTCTGCTGCTCCCCGGAGCACACGTGGCCTTCCATCCCGCCGACTTCCACGCCCTGCCTCCCTTTCGCCTGCTGCGAATCCTCTCTGCCGGCATATGGCACAACATGGTGGTGAGTGCTGGCATATGGCACAACATGGTGGTGAGTGCTGGCATATGGCACAACATGGTGGTGAGTGCTGGCATATGGCACAACATGGTGGTGAGTGCTGGCATATGGCACAACATGGTGGTGAGTGCTGGCATATGGCACAACATGGTGGTGAGTGCTGGCATATGGCACAACATGGTGGTGAGTGCTGGCATATGGCACAACATGGTGGTGAGTGCTGGCATATGGCACAATATGGTGGTGAGTGCTGGCATATGGCACAACATGGTGGTGAGTGCTGGCATATGGCACAACATGATGGTGAGTGCTGGCATATGGCAAAACATGGTGGTGAGTGCTGGCACATGGCACAACATGGTGGTGAGTGCTGGCATATGGCACAACATGGTGGTGAGTGCTGGCATATGGCACAACATGGTGGTGAGTGCTGGCATATGGCACAACATGGTGGTGAGTGCTGGCATATGGCACAACATGGTGGTGAGTGCTGGCATATGGCACAACATGGTGGTGAGTGCTGGCATATGGCACAACATGGTGGTGAGTGCTGGCATATGGCACAACATGGTGGTGAGTGCTGGCATATGGCACAACATGGTGGTGAGTGCTGGCATATGGCACAACATGGTGGTGAGTGCTGGCATATGGCACAACATGGTGGTGAGTGCTGGCATATGGCACAACATGGTGGTGAGTGCTGGCATATGGCACAACATGGTGGTGAGTGCTGGCATATGGCACAACATGGTGGTGAGTGCTGGCATATGGCACAACATGGTGGTGAGTGCTGGCATATGGCACAACGTGGTGGTGAGTGCTGGATGGCTATCCTTTCAGCCTCACGTCACATCATTGTGCCTCACATCTGCTCCCTCCTGTGAGCACATGTGGCCTTCCATCCCATCTTCTCTCTGCCTGCCTCCTGCCCGCCTGCTGAGAGTGCTTTCCACCGGCACAGTGGCGCAACATAGTGGTGAGTCTTGTGCATTGAGTGTCGAAGTAGAACAGGTGGGCTGCGGAGGCGCAACAGTGGCGCAACATGGTGGTGAGTCTTGTGCATTGAGTGTCGAAGTAGAACAGGTGGGCTGCGGAGGCGCAACAGTGGCGCAACATAGTGGTGAGTCTTGTGCATTTCTGCATGGCTTGGCACCACCCTCTCTTGTTTTCTCTCTTGTGAGTCTTCCAACCTTTTCACTTCCACTCCCTGCCTTCCCCTTGCCTGCTGAGAGTGCTTTCCGTCACCAGCTGGCGCAACATAGTGGTGAGTCTTGTGCATTTCTGCAATTTCTCCGTCTTGCGTCCCCACTCGTTCTGCAACTTCACCCTCACCCCGCTCGCCCCTCACCCTCTCTGTTCCCCTCCCCTCTCCCCACTCCCACCATTGCAGCTGTCTCTGCTGCTCCTCTCCTCTCCCCCTTTCTCCAAACCGCGCTCTTCCTTCCTCTCTACCCCATCTTATCCACCCTGTTCCCATCTTTCCCTACCCATCTGATCTGGCCCCACTCCCACCTATGCAGCTGTCTCTGCTCGCTCTGCTGCTCCTATCCTCTCCCCTCCAAGCGGTCCTCTTCCTTCCCCTCTACTCCCAGTCACCACCAGGCCTTAAGGTACGCCCCTCCCTGCATGTCCCCTTCCTCCCCTCTCCTCTTCTCTCATATCCCCTCCTTCCGTTTCCTTCCCATCCAAGCACTGCTCTTCTTCCGCTCTACTCCCAGTCCCCCCCCAGGCCTCAAGGTACGTCCCTCCCCGTATGTCCCATTTCCCAGTAAAGAACGACTCTGCGTTTGCTTCAAGCCGTGTGCCTCAAGCCGTGTAACTCCACCATGCCTTTCCCCCGTTTTAGTCACATATGACATCCGTGTGTGGTTTCTTCCCACCCCACCCCCAGGTTACATCCGTGCATCCGCTCTCCCCTCTCTTCAGTCACATTCGCCCAGGAGACTCCTTACTAGTACTTGACCACACTCCGCTTTCCTCTCCTGCCGACTACACTCACCTCCTCTCCCATCTCTCCCACCTCTCCCACGTCTCCTACCCTCTGCCTCCTTCGATCCCTCCCTCACCTCCTTCCCGTGGGTATTGCATTTCCCTCTCGGCCAATCACAAGCTGCCACCTGGATTCCTGACTCCTCCAGCCTTTCCAGCCAATGGTAGCATCCCACCAATAGCTTCATCTGGACCAATCCCCAGCTCTTTCCTAGAACCTTCCCACCAGCATCCTCATCATTCCAACATGGAGCCATTCCCACCACCTCGGCCAATCTCCTGTGATGCCTCGTTTCCTGGAACCATCCTTTTCCGGCAAGCTCCAGCTGGCGATGCGGAACCTTCCTTGCCGATTCCTGGCAGTGAACCGCACCAAGAGGAAGCTTCCGTTCAGTTTCCTGGTGATGGATCGCAGAACCAAGAAGAAGCTTCTCAGATGGTTCCTACTGCGGCATGTTTGCATCCGAGAGAAGTGGTGGAGGGAGGGAGGAGATGCGGATGGGGGTGGATGGGTGATGATGGGGAGGAGGAAGGGAAGGACGAGGGGAAGGAAGAAGGGAAGCAAGAGGGGAAGCAAGAGGGAAAACAAGAGGGGAAGCGGCAGCGTCAATGTGATAAGGTGAGTGTGAGAGATCATTGAGATAGATACCCTCAGAAAAAGTACTGAGAGATATTCTCTGCCTGCTCCCTAAATGCGCGTCTCTCAGTGCCTCTGAAGGACGTGCTCCTAAGAGCAAGCTCATTATTTCGGGGGGAAAGGGGGGGGGGGGGGGGGGGGGGGGAATATGCTCTCCTCAGAACAAGCACTAGAGGACATGCATTTAGGGAGCAGCGTGACAAGGGGGGAGAAAATATGCTATCTGTTGTGTTTGAGTGGTTTGATTTTCTTTTCTTCTCTTCTCTATTCTTTTCTTTTCTTTTCTTTTCTTTTCTTTCCTTTTCTTTTCTTTTCTTTTCTGGCCTGTATGTCACGCCAAAACCATCCTCTGCTCCTTTGTTGCTCTTTGTGCGGCTTCAAATCTCTTTCCTCTCGACATCATCCCATCATCCTCCCTTCTCTTCACCCTTTGCCCATGGCCAGGTTTCCACCTGCATGCATGGCCCCTACACTTTTCCATCACCATCTGCTGCTCCTAGTACGGTTTCAGAAATCTTTCTTCACTTTCTCCTTGTTTTGTCCTTCCCTCACGGCCAGGGATCCGTCTGCATGGCCCCAGTCCTTCCTCATCACCATCTGCTGCTCCTAGTGCAATTTCAGCCCTCCCCCTACTCACCCTCCTCCTCCTCGACCTCTTCCTCCTTTTCCAGTTCCTCTCCTTCCTCCTCCACTTCCTCCGCTCCCTCCTCTCTAGTGTTTGTGGGAACCATTGAGTCCTTTGCACAGGGCCTCTCTCTTTCCCCGTGGCATCCTCGCACACTCACTCTCCCTCTCACACTGCCTAACCTTGCACTGGAACACCAAAAATTGTTGCATGCACCAAGCCAGCCTGCTGCTGCTAGCATGCTGCAGAGAGAAGAGCAGCAGCAGCAGCGATGGCAACTAAGGAAACAGCAGCTGGAGCAGGGAAAGGAGCAGCAGCAGCACTGGCAGCAGGTGCTTCAGCAGGGAGAGGAGCAACAGCAGCAACTGCTGCAGCAACAGCAGAAAGAGCAGGATCAGCTGGAGAGCGAGAAAGGAGAAGAGCAGCATCATAACCGTTCATTTCTGTTAGCAGCATCGCCACCATCGATGGTTCAGATTTCAGCGCCATTGTGGGGCCCTGTGGTGGTGACACGTGTCGCTCTCTTTGTCTTCCACGTGTCCAATGCTCTCGCCCTCATCAACGCTGCTCCGGTGAGTATTATAAGTTACTTGTGATCAATTCAGACCAAAAATTGTAGCAGTATCGTCGCTTTTGCAAAAATCAAAGGATGTTGCGCTTAGGTGGCTGCGCTCCCTCATTCTCTACTGTTCCATTTCCTTTTCTCACCTCAACTTTTCATTTCCTTTACTGTTCTATTGGAGGTGATGTCGCTACAAGGAATCACCTCCAATGCCACTGTTGACTGTTGTATCTCCTTGTCTCCATTCCGTCCTCACTATAAAGTTTTCTTTCTCAACCAACACGCCCATAGCCTCTTCCTCCCATCCCATTCATCTATTTCGTCATCTGCCCACACCCCTTCCCCAACCTGTTACCGCTTGAATTTCCTCCTCAATTTCTTTCAAACCTCCTCCACCTGCATCTCCCATTTCCCTTACATCCTCTCGCCTCACATCCACACCTCAGGCACCAACAACAAATCATTCGCCACCATCGTATTCTCACTAGTGTACTATACAGTGGCTCTTTCCTTCTTCTCGTCTCCCTGACTCAATCTACTGCATCTATTTCTTCATTTCTACCCTCCCCTCTCTTCCCCTCTCCCCTCCTTCCTGTTCCCGTTCAGATTTTCTTCCTTGATGGAGAGGCCGTTCTCTCAGACTTCCTCCGCCTGGTTCTCCCTTTTCCCTCGCATCCTCTCTCCTCCCATCATCTGCACCTCCGTCACCAACAGCAAATCATTCGCCACCATCGTATCCTCACGAGTGTCCTTTATGGGGGCTCTTTCCTACTTTTCGTCTCCCTGGCTTCATCTATAATGTTTTCTCATACATGAACTGACCGGATTTCCTAGTCCCGACCCAAACATGTCATTACAATGTACCGCATGAGTGTATTCATCAGGCCCTCAGATTGGTTTGAGGGTATGCTGATGGATCAGCGTGCCCCTGCCAACAAGGTGTCCAAATCAGCGTTGGTGGTTTTCTTTATACTGATACTGTCAGTGTAATTTTTTTTCCTAAACTGAACCTGCAGTGTAAATAAACCAAAAAAGCAGAGCTGATGCAATAGTGCATGGATGCGTCCAAAGTTACCATTGTGACAAACAGCAGCACCAATACCGCATGCTGGCTGAATCTACCACTAACAAACTAGCTCATGTCATGTCTTCATCAGAAGAAACGCTCGCATCATCACCACTGCTACTGGCATCGTCATCACTCTCACTGCCATCGCCTGCAGAACCACACATGCCCTCGTCTAGGTCCTCCTCCTCCACCACCCGGCGGCCACTCCCCTTAACAAACTTGGCCTTGGCCCGCTCCTTCTCTGGCGCAGCTTGCTCCTTGCGCTTGCTGGGGCGCCTTTTCCTGGTGCTCCGCCAGATGTCCAGCACCTTATCCCACTCCATGTCGTAGTCGAGCAGACTCATTGCCAGCAAATCTCCCAGCTTGGCGTTGCAGAGACTCGTCCAGCGCCACGACTTGATCACATTCTGGCGGGAAAACCCACGCTCGCACTCGACTGTGCTGAGAGGCAGAACAGCGACCGCAGCCCACAGACGGACTAAGTTGGGGTAGCTGGTCTGCCAGTCGTTGGTCTGCAAGATGGCCTTCAAACCTGCGTGAAAGGGCTGCTCTTCCTTGGGGGCAGTGGAGAGCACCGGCAGGAACGTGCGCAGCTCCGCTCGTGCCGCACGCTTCTGGACACCTGCGAAACGGGTTGAGCACAACCAGGGTAGAAAGTCAAGTGCACAACATGGGAATAACGCAACCACGGAAATGGCAATGCATACACGCAGGTCAGTGGGGATCTATTTCTTGCTCACCAGGCAAGATCGTGTCCCGGTTCTTGGCCTGAAACAGATGGACGAGGCCGTGCAGGTGTGCTCCTTGCACTCTGCGTCTCTTGCCTCGACGCCCCTCGGCCACGAGCGGGGCATGAAGAGCTTCGCCCCGTTCAAGCGCGTCAGGTCTCCCAAGCGCAGCTCGAGGTTGTACACCAGCTCGCGGGCAAATGAGCGGCAGCAGGTGTAGCAGCCTTGCATGTCCCCGCTGCTGGTGGTGTATCCCTTGACTGCCTCCTCGTGCAGCTGGAACTTGTGTACACGGGGCTGACCCTCCTTGTCCACCCCTTCCACAGTCACTTCACGGCAGTCGGGCGAGGCGTGCCGCGCGAGGAAAGCAGACAGCAGCTCGCTGGTCCCACCGCCAAACTGCTGGCCACAGTTCAGGTACCTCTACTCCATGTAGATGATGGTCCGCCTCACCTGGGAATGCACTGCAGTGAGGTCGACCTGTTGGTGGGGGGAGAATCGGTACACCGAAACAAAAGATAAGTACCTGGGAGAAGAAGAGAACTGCAAAACGGAACTCAACAGCTCACCTGTCGCTTCTGGAATAGCAGGTTGAGCGCGTTGAGTGCCGTGTGCACATCTGCCAAGAAGAACAGGAAGTAATGAAACTTGAACGACGTTACTAAGTGGTACATTGTCTTGTCCGACTCCTCGAGCATAACGATTACAACAGGCAGAACGCGTACGAATCGTGCGATTGCATCTCCGCGACTCAACCAGCAGACGCTGTGGATCCCCTGGACCTCAAAGATGGTATGCGTGAACACTTCATGCAGCTCCTTGAACTTGCGGTTCTGCCGAGATCTTCCGCCACTGCGCGGATAACCGCGTCGATTATGCCAAGCTCGGGTAGTGCCTTAGACGACTCCTTTGCAGCAAGCGCTTCCCTGCCACAGGTAGAAATGCACGGGTGGGGGTGTTAGAATTCGCACTGCGACATACCACGTTGCACATCTCATACCGCAACAACACCACCACAGCAACAGTTTACCTGTGTGCGATGCTGAGAGTAGCCACCACGTGCGGGATCTCCAGTCAAAGACGCCCAACGAGGCCCGTGTCGTTGCCTATCATCACAGGTGCCCCATCGGTGCTGATACTCGCCACCTTCTCCAGCGGCAGGCTAATACTGTCAAGGAATCCCGTGATCTTAGCATAAAGAGATGCTGCATCACACTTCTCAACGGAGAGGTTAGTCAGAAACTCTGTGGTGATGGCATGCTCATGCAGAAAGGTTACAAACACAATCATGTGCTTCCCTTTGATGCGGTCCGTACTCTCGTCGCAGCTCAGACCAATGAATGGACTCGAATAAATGAATTCTCTCTGGCGCGCACGAAGGTATGTCGCTATTGCGGCGGTGATCTCTTCAAATCCGTACCTGTACGAGCATCAATGCGTGTGGTTAGTGATAGCTTCACGTATATCACATCCCCCGACCATATGTACTAGAGCAGTGTCACTTACGTCGTGTAGTAGGCACCATAACTGCTCTTTGGGAAGCCCGGTGTGCCACGCTGCACTAGATGTTGGACAAGGTCGACGTACATCTCGATCGGGGTGTCGGACTTAGCGATGAAGAGTGCCGTCTCAAATAGCGCGAGCAGGCGCTCCTTCTCGATGTCTTTCACCTTCTTGTTGTCGTCAATCCGGCGGTTAGCTTTCACCTTCCTGTAGGGGTTCACGACGAGTGCAGGAACAGAATGAGGGAGCAGATGGGGGTACCCTCTCTCCTGAGCGACCATGGCGAGGGATCGTGGTCCTGGGTTTCCGTCTTTCCATGCAAGATGACAACACCCCCATCCACCCCACTGCCATATTTTATGGCGTGTTGGTGTGGACCGTGCCAGCAGTGGTGTGCTGTCTGTGTTCTCATTGGGCAGTTGTTGAACTAGGTTCATCGTACTCTGGTGTGATGGCTTCCAGCGAGGCAAAACGGTTCGACGCGCACATGCTACAAGTACAGCGCATGTGAAACGATTCCAAGTGTGTGGGTGGGGTGGGGTTTCGTGGGAAGGTACACTCTGTAAACGCGTCGCCTCCCCCCTCGGGCGGTCAAGTCCGTTTCAGTGTGACTCGCTGAAGTATACTGATTCGTCAGTGTTACTTGTTCTGAAACACGCAAAATGGTCAGTGTGGCAAAATTGCAAATACTGATATTACAGTGCAAAAATGAGGCATACACTGATTTTTCAAGGAAAACGGAAATCAGAGCTACAAAATCAGCGTAATCAGCGTGTTTTACGCTGATATCTGAGGGCCTGGTACTCATTATACACTTGCTATGCTCTTTGGAACTTGAACGGGATGCAGAATCATGTCTTGTAGCCAGGGCTAAGAGCAATTGGTGCTAGTAGTAATGCGTACCAAACATATTATATTTGCCCTTACTTGTGGGGCCACCGAAAGCCAAGCTGTGGTGGTTTAAAATGTTTCCCCAAGTACCCTAGCTTTGGTTATTTGCCATTCCGCAAAGGACTGCAGCAAACTATGAAGTGCAAATGTCTGAGTGTAGAGGAACGCAATAATGATAGGTACAATCGCTTGTTGCCCACTCCCGCAGCATTTGCTGCCGCATAATCCGCATTTTACATCGGGGAGCTCGATGCCCTCCTCCCAGGTGCAATCAGGTCAACTGGTTTCAACATGTGTGGCGAATGGAGTTTCCACCTGCAATCTGAACTTGAAGCACGCCGTGCCCATCGGTGAATTGTGATTCGTTGCGATCCACTTTGTCCTCGCAGGCTAGTAGAATTTCAAGGATTCGAGTTCGCCAGCCCCCTCGTCACAGTAACCAGGGTTGCGACACTCGCATCGTCACAGTCGCAACTCCATGGCTTGTGAAATACATGAACAGCGAAACTCACGGATTCCACCTGGCGCGAAAACACATTTCCCGCCAACTGTGCCTTCCAACCTATTCCTCCCTGTGAATCCAATGTTGTGCGAGTCGCGTTCTCCGCGTCAGCCTCCATCGCGCCTGGTAAGATTCCGCAACTAGTATCACCACTTGTTCACCAACATAAGATTTCTTCTCCCATATGAAACTTCCATTCCTCGCACGTTCTTCCCCTTCGCGCCGTTTTTTATTTTGATACTCTTAATGTTCTGACTCATAACATGACGCCTCATTACTCTCGCATTCTCTCCTTTTCGCGCAGCGTTTGGAAGGACCTTACCTTCACGTCGCAGCCTCGCCCTCAAGGCTCTCTCGCTCATGAGCCTCCCGGGGTCGACAACCATTACTCTACTCGCCAATCCCGGAGACACTGGCAGAGACACCAGCAGTGGCGGAGATACTGGCAGTGGCGGCGACGTTGGCGGAGAAACAGGCGGTCCAGGCGGCGACGTCGGCGGCAATCAGGGCGGTCCTGAGGGACCCCCTGGTGGCGACAATGGGGATACCGCCAGTGGCAGAGATACCGGCAATGGCGGCGACGTTGGGGGAGGCGAGGATGGCCCCCCACCGATCGGTGCTGGCGGAAATGGCGGAAAGGTTGGGAAGGGAGGGAAGGGAGGGAAGGGTGGGAAGGGCGGAAAGGGAGGAAAGGGCGGGAAGGGAGGGAAAGGGGGCAAGGGGGGACAGGGAGGGAAACCTGGTAACCAGTAGGGCGGGCCCGGCGGAGAGCAGGGGGGACCTGGCGGCGAGCAAGGGGGACCTGGCGGAGAGCAGGGGGGATCCGGCGGGGAGCAAGGGGGATCCGGCGGAGAGCAGGGGGGATCTAGCGGAGAGCAGGGCGGGGCTGGCGGGGAGCAGGGGGGATCAGGGAGGGGGGAGGGTAGCCAGAACGCCGGCACGACGAGCACCCGAAAGGGCGGAAAGGCTGGAAAGGGCGGGAAGGGTGGGAAAGGAGGGAAGGGGGGCAAGGGTGGAAAGGGTTGCAAGGGTGGAAAGAAATAAAAAGTTTTCGCAAGATATAGGGCGTACCATAGTACTATTCTTCTTGTACCATTATTGCAGCCAATCGTGTATCTGTGTC